AAAAAAATTCTTTAAATTAATTTTCGTATACTATATTAGCGATCCTAATTTTAAAATGTTTAGTGCAATATGACAAAATTTATACGGCAAACATTTCTTACAATTATTATATAGGCCTATAAACAATATTGAACATAGTAAACAAAACTATATGACAGTCAAATAATTTTTTTTTTAGATCAACTAAAATCATCAAATACACTATTACAATTTAGATGTGAGATATTTTGTCTGATATATTTTTTCTGAGATCAATTGCCCGTGCTATCATTTGTCCTGATATATTTTGTCCTGGTATCTTTTGGCCGTGAGATGATTTGTCCATGAAATCATTTGTCCTATTATCATTTGTCCTGATGTATTTTGTCCTGGTATCTTTTGTCCGTGAGATCATTTGTCCTGAGATCGTTTGTCATAATATCATTTGTCCGTGAGATATTTTGTCTGAGATTATTTGTCCCGTCACCATACGATTTGTACGTCGTTCACTTGACCCAAATATCTCCATGGTCTTTGTACAATTCCTGCTATCAATGACTAAGTAATGAGTTAAAAATTAATAATAATTAAGCTAAAATAGTGCAATGTACATGTAATGCACATTACTTTGGGTAGATAAGAAAACATTGATACAATAAAACATAATTAACAAAACATTTTATCTAATTTCTGCTTTTACAAATACACGAGTCAGTGTGTTGTCTTTATTTCTAAACACGTGAAATTTCGTTGCATTAGAAACTGCCTGAACTTTGTGTTGAATGTATAGTAGATTGGTAGATTAATGGCCGAGTTCAGTATTTCAAATATCATTCGCGCATTCCCGACAGTTAAATACAAGAAATTTAATTTTTTCCCATTAGCGAACTCAGGAACACACACTGTAGTTAGGATAAACACAATCTTCGGCGTGTTGCACAAAATATACACAAGGGAGATCACTACAACTTGTTTTACAACCTGTCGTTCTTTTCCTTCTAGTTTTCCAGATTTGTCACTGCTTTTTATATCATCATTTGATTGCATACCATTTTGAGCGTTCGCTGATCTAAATCTTTGTGATTTTGAAAGAGCTCGAGCCATTATAATAGTTGATGTAATTATAATTGCCTGTGTTAAAAGCGGTATTGCCATTCCTAAAATATTCCAGACAATATCTTTAACGTATGTTCGCTCTGGTGATAACCAGATCGACGGCCTTGACCTGTTATGGGTTAAGTCATATTTATCAACCACGCCCATACACATAAGAACAGGGACGTAAGCCACTGCACAAAACACAAAGCTTGTTAACATAAATATGATCGAATTTTTCCTTTTGATAATGTGCTTGAAATAAAAAGGCAATGAAACACACATACACCTAGCTAATGAAACAAAACTCGTGTTTAGCGCTACCACGGATGAGCACGGAATAAACAGATTTGAACTAAAACCTCCAACGATTGAAGGGTCTATGTTATACCAATTGGTAAACATAAACTCAGACACGTACAAAATTCCCCCAATGCCCATTGGGAGAGCCACGAGTGATAAAGTAAAATCGGAAATGGATAAAAGAAAAAATGAAACCGTCATTCCATCCTTCAAACCCATTGCATGAAAGATCCGGATATTGATTATGTTGGTGAGAATCCCAAATGTTGATAACACCACATATATTGTACAACAGGTCAACATGCCGGTAAAGAACTGCTCTGAAGTAAGGATTATATCCTGATTAGATGTGTCTTTCAATGTTGAAATCTCCATTGTGTAAGTATCAAATAATCGATGAATTTAAAAGCTTTTACTATAAGATTTGTTTAAGTTTTAAAACAATATAATCTAACAGGAATTGCTTCTCAAACAGTATCTTTTTTTAAAACGTTCAAATTTGATTTCAGACTTATATAACGAAAAAACAAAAATTAAATATTTAAAATACATATGATTGAAGATTCATATTTTTATTTATCTTACAAATATTGTATTTAGTTTTTCTTTATGCTTACAGCTTTCTAATTTTTCTTTATTTAGATCACGTCTGTGATATCTTCCGCTTTGATTTAATCAAAGTTGACAGAACTTTTAAAGACAATAAAAGGAAAGAAAGAATTCGATTGACTACGGTTTTCCCTAAAATATTGCTATAATTAAACACACTAAATCAAAATTAAATTATATTTTTGGTTTTAGATGTTTTTTTGAATGTTTAACTTCAAATCATTAGACAATTTTTATTCTTTAAGTATATAATTTAAAACAATGAAACCTACATAAGTATACACCACTAGTCAAATAATTACATGACGCGTTTCATCTTTCCTCAGTACTTTGTTTTACAATGGTGTAATTTGCAATAGTCTACATTTTTGTTGTTTTTTTTGTCTTATAAACCGTTATGACAAAATTGTGTGTCATCTTCTAAATTGATCTCAGTTTTTCAGTGACGACGTTAGAATGGTTTAAACCGTTAAATGTTTTGTCTGGTTTAATCGATTTTACTAGCTTCATAATTTTATGTAAGTTGAAATGTTTGAGGCAGTATTTTGAAAACCTGTTGTTATACAATTTTTGTACGTAGGATAATAAGGAACAAACATTTATAATTGTTTTTATGCTACAGCGTAAAGGAAATTAAAAATATTACCGTGAAAATATTTCATACTGTTTTGATATTACATGTTAAAGTAAACCCTGCAACAAGTTTGACTGATTTTTACCTATCTAAAGAAGTTGTAACATTCGATGCTGTGTTTAGAGATTTTTGCCTACGTTAACCATATTAAAATTCTCGTAACATAGAGAAGCGAGTTGTTTGTTTCGTCCGTTGAATGGGCAAATACAGACAATAATACCTCAGATTTACACTTGCTGACTTATATATATCTGGTTATTTCAAACATTATTTGAAGTCATGTTTTCTCATTGCGTTTACTTTTTAACGATGTTTGCTGTATTGGTTCACTTCATAAGCTACACATTTTGTTCTGTGTTTGCGAATAGGCTATGTGTGTGTGTTACAGCTAACGGTAAAAGAAATAAAATTCACTTTCATGCTTTAGGCATGTTTCTGTTTCGTTATATTAGACGTTTACGGAGGACTAGCTATCCTCAACGTATTCTAAATTTATTTTAAAACTGATTTAGTCTTTCTTTTAAGAAGTAAAAATATCTAGCTGTATTCCCCACAACTAATTTATTTTCATGAATGTTTAAAATTATCTTAAATATGTACGTTCACTTGAGTCATTAGTCTCCAAAATGTGTTGTAAATTACTCAAATATTAGACTTATGTTTGTGTTTAAAAACATTTAGTTTCTACCAATGTGAGTTATGTAATCTTCAATAATAGCCTCATATATCTGAGGAGTGCTTCTTGTATTAAATTAATTTTAATTTAGAAAACAATGATTGAAACGTAATGTAAGCAGCTAATTAAAAATTTTAAACAGAAATTTTTTAAGATTGCTATTTATACAGACATGTTAATAATACTTTTACAGTTTTTTCTGCCGTTTTTTATTTGTTTAAATATTTATGTTAGCTATAAAACTGTATTATAATAACATTTTATTATCAACTATCTGCTGCTTTCTGTGGTTGTTAATGTGTTTTAGTGTGTAAAATGTAAAAGACTAAATTTGTTGCGTGAATTGAATGAACATCCAGAGTTACCGTACCTGCACACAAAACACAAGGAGTTACAACCCCAGCAAGGTATAATTAAGCATGCAAGAAAAATGAGAAATCTGATGTTAATTGTTTATGATAATATGAAATATTGTTACTTTGATATTCTGTCCAGTGCCGAACGGTAAAATGAATTACCCAGTTTAAAATATACAACACTCTTTCACAGTGTTGACGCAATAGATGGGTTTAAATGTATATCACCATCGGACTTTGGTAACAGTTTTAAATGTTTAACAATCTCGTACAGTGGTTACATAAACAACGGTTTAATATTTTGATAATCAATGGGTCATGACCAGATCCTAGGAAGTTTCTAGAATTACTCCCTTTGAGAAGCATAATGAAATAATTTTTTTTTGTGAAATACATGACCGATGTGAGAATTTCTAAAATATAATGTATCCATACCTAATACAACAGGGTGTGAATGTGTTTCATTCGAAGAGTTCTGGCAAAAAGCTGACTGGAGTTCATTGATTAAAAGAATGTAAAAAGTACAATGTTTGCTACATATAACAAATTGTCTTTGTTGTTTGAAACAGTTCATAAAAAATATGAATGTTGTTTAATTGGTAAATATGACAGGTGTGTGATTGTGTGTTTGATTGGGAAATATGACTTGTGTGTGATTGGTAAATATGATTGATGTGTGATTGATAAATATGACTAGTTTGTGATTGGTTAATATGATTGATGTGTGATTGGTAAACATGACTGGTGTGTGATTGGTAAATATGACTTGTGTTTGATTGGATGTGTGATTGGTAAATGTGACTTGTGTATGGTTGGGTGTGTGATTGGTAAATATGACTTGTGTGTGATTGGGTGTGTGATTGGTAAATATGACTTTGTGTGATTGGGTGTGTTATTGGTAAATATGACTTGTGTGTCATTGGTAAATATGACTTGTGTGTGATTGGTAAATATGACTTGTGTGTGATTGGGTGTGTGATTGGTAAATGTGACTTGTGTGTGGTTGGGTGTGTGATTGGTAAATATGACTTGTGTGTCATTTATAAATATGACTTGTGTGTGATTGGTAAATATGACTTGTGTGTGATTGGGTGTGTGATTGGTAAATATGACTTGCTATTTTCAAACAAAGCTTGTGTTAATAATGAGCAAGGGAAGGGGGGGGGGGGGGGGGATTTTATGTAGACAAAAACAATGATTTTCAAAAAGCAAGGAAGATTTGATATGCTGTCTCATTACTAATTGTCACAGAATGAAAAAAAACAGGGGGGGGGGATGTTAAATTAAAGTTCTGATTCTAATATATAAATGTATTTTAAAAAAAATGATTTTTTTAATTTCTTGACATTTACTTAAGTGGAGTAAACCTAGAGGAGTGTGTGGCAAAAATACCTGGTATGTTGTGCTTGACGTGGTTGTAAGTAATGGAAAACTCGCCCAAGTAATGTCCAACCATTGCAGGCTTAATTTCAACTTGGATGAATGTTTCTCCGTTGTACACACCAAATATTGAACCAATCACTTCAGGAACAATGATCATATCACGCAGATGGGTTTTAACAACCTCTCGCTCTTTCAAATGTCCGGCTTCTGTTTTAGCTTTTCTCAACCTCTTAATGAGAGCAAGTGGTTTACTCTTTAGTCCACGATTGAGACGGCGGTGTTGTCTGCAGTTGAACACATCCGACAGCTGTTCTAATGACATATCAAGGAGTTGATCAAGGTCCACCCCTCTGTAAGTAAACTTACGGAAGGTCCTCTTTTTCTTCTTTTCTACCAAATCATCATCTGTTATTTCTCAATATTTCTCGACGGTGAAACAATATCAAATAAACGTGAAGTGATCTCCCCTAAACTTTCTCGAATATTCTTATATAACACTACGGGGGATGGCAACTCGGGATTTAGACGATATTTGTAATCCATTTTTAATTACTTAAACTTTTTATAATAGAATAGAATCTTGTAGAAAAAAGAATTGCACACTAAGTGAACGCCAAATAAAATGTGCATAATATATATTATTATGAGTCCTTTATAAATTCACATGCGTTTTTTGAGAAATCGGAAATAACGTAAATTACTACTTCCGGTCAACGGAAATTACTCAATTATATATTTTACTTATATGTGAAATTTCATTTATTTATCTGAAATAGTACTCAAGTTATAGGCTTTTGAAAAATTGAAAAAGGCTGAAAAGTTGAAACGGATCTACAAATTTGATACAATACTTATATATGAAATTTCATCAACCTAGCTGTAACGGCACTTAATTTATCGTGTTTACAGACACACATACACACACACATACACATACACACTCAGACATACGGACAAGATTGCAAAATCTCGAATTTTTTTTGCACGATTACAATACTTTCTCTACACTCTGTATAAACGAGAAAGTAAAAAGGAAGTTATGGACCGGATATACATTCGTGTCTAATATATAAATGTTAAAGAAATCAAGTGAGAATTTTACAGAGGGCATAATGAACAAAATTAACATTTTAAATTTAATAATAATATTGCTAGAAGAATAACAACGGTTTTTAATACAGTAGTAACAAAGTTCTTAAAGTACTTCGTCCTTTTGTCAGATTAATTTGTTACATTAATTGTTAACATAAATATGTTCCGTAGAACACACAGTTAAAACATCAGAAAATTTAGTGAACATAAAAGAGTGCATTTCAATCAAGGAATTTACCCTATTCAAGCGATTACCTCCCTTTCAGTACATCTCAATAAGGTACTGTACCCTAATCAAGCGATTACCGTCCTTTAATGCATCTCAATCAAGGTACTGTACCCTAATGAAGCGATTACCGTCCTTTAATACATCTCAATCAAGGTACTGTACCCTAATCAAGCGATTACTGTCCTTGAATGTACTACCTTCCTGAAGGTTTAAATCAGGGTCTCTTAACTACGGCCCGCGGGCATGCATGAGGGGTCCTCTCATCCGGCCCGTGGAGATCTTTTTGTCCACGGAAACAAACATGTTTGTTGGAGGTGGCTGAGGAACTTTGCCCAGAAAATTCAAAACAATTTGAAAATGTAGCTTTGGGTGAAAATACCATTGCACGCCGTGTTGCAGACATGGGTGAAAACTTTGTGTCTCAAATTTAAACTTTAAATTAACACCTTTAGATACTGCAGTGCTTGAAGTGTGTTATCCTCACCTATGTGCTTCTGTTAATTTCTCCCAACACACAGTTTTATCCCACACATTTGCCGGAACTTGGAGTTGTAAGCGTAGTAGATAGGTAGACTGATGACTGAGTTGATGATTTCAAAGATCATCCGCACGTTACTCACGGTGACGTAGAGATAGTTCAAGCGAGTGCCCGTAGCGAACTCTTGAACGAAAATTGTCGTTAAGATAAACAGTATCTTTGGGGTGTTGCACAAAATATACACAAGGGAGATTACTACAACTTGTTTTACGATTTGTCGTTCTTTCCCAACTAATTTTCCCGAATTTTTATTTGAAATTTTTTTTTTTCTCGAACTTTCTGCCGTTGTTGAAGCAGATTGATAAGATTGAGCATTAGCCGATCTAAATCGTTGTGATTTCGTTAAGGCTCTTGCCATTAAAACCGTTGACGCTATAATCGTTGCGAAGGTTAAAAGCGGTACTCCCATCCCTAAAATGTTCCACACCACATCTTTGATATATTTTCGATCCGGCGACACCCAAGCTGACGGCCTTGACCTATTACGCACGGGGTCAAGTTTATCCACGACGCCCATGTAAGAAAACACGGGTGTGTACAGCACGGCACAGAACACAAAACTCACGAGCATGAAAACGACGGAGGTTCTTCTCTTGAATACGTGCTTGAAGTAAAGCGGTAACGACACGCACATACACCTGGCTACGGAGATGAAACTCGTGTTCAGCGCCACCACAGCTGACACGGGAATGAACAAATTGGTGCTGAAAAGTCCAAGAATGTAAGGCTCGAACTGAAACCACTCACGGAACATGTACTCGTCGACATATAAGATGCCACCAATCCCCATACCAAGGGACACAACTGATAAAGTAAAATCTGAGATGGATAGTAAAATAAACGAGACTGTCATGGCGTCCTTGAGGCCCATTAAAGTAAAGGTCCGGATGTTGATTATGTTGGTGAGAATCCCAAACGTTGCCATGGTAACGTATGTGATACAGCATGATAACATCCCTATAAGAAACTGGTCGTATGGCAAGATTATGTTAGGGCTTATTACATTTCTTACACTTGAAGTTTCCATCGTCAAATTATTTAATATTGCGATTACTTTATTCTTGGTTACGTTATTTCAGATATTTATTGTATTATTCGGAATAAAATTGTGTAATTGTGCATCGTTTTACTTTTATCTTTGTCGTTCGTTAAAATAAATAAAAACAACAACAACAAACTAATGTAATTGCTTTCAACAGAGGATTAGCCTATTTTATATATATTTTTTTCTGGGTCGTCAATGTTCAATTCAAAATAATTAGCATATTAATTCATCCTCAAAGTTTATAGTAAGTATCTTTTTAATTGTAAACACCAAATATACAACTCTCTAAACATCAAGTCAGATAATGTCTATTGCCAGCAAGTTCAACTGGAAATATTTTTTTTTTTAAGTTTAAGACTTAGCTAGTTATAATTTTAAATACAGCGATTCCACAATTTAAACTTTAATTAAATTAGGAATTTTATTGATTTAAAAAATTAGACACTAATTTTGCTGTGTAAAGTTAAGTATACGTTAAATTCATACATTAAAGATACCAACCTAACAATTAAAAGATGATTACAACTCTTATAAAATAGGACGACAATTGTAATTCAGATCTAATCAAAGTGCAATTTTCTCCTTCCCGTGTTGACAATAATAGCTATTATTTCCTCCCAATTATATGAATATATATTTTGCAAATTAGAATATTAGATTCGCGTTGAAATTTGGCTGAGGGTATTTTGTATCAAATATCATAATTATCTGACAGACGTCTCTTTTAATTGGTTGAAATCGATATTAAATTGTTTTTGTAATTACGGGTTAGTTAAGGGTTGTTTAATTCTTGAATTAAAAACGTTATTAGTTTGTGGTGATATGAAGAAAACTCTAATAGGTTAAATGTCGGTAACAACTAATAGACATTCAGTAAAGCTTGCTAACTCACAAATAAAATTTTTGACAAGTTCACATTGTGTAAAGGAATATTATCAGGCTGTTATTTGTGTACGCTTGTACTTATATTTTAACATTTTAACAGAAATATATCTATGTGGAACGTTATACAAATTTTAATCAATATTTTTTATTAACATAGCCATGGGCCGAAATGTACGGATGCTGGTGTTGTTTCTGACGTTGTCAGTCTTAGACAGCGAATGTTCTGGAACCAAAAACATCACATACGCCCGTGCGCAAGGCTGGCTTACTGTAAAACCTCCAATAAGAACCTCAAGCCCAGGTTTCTTTCTACCGTATCTTTGTGACAGTAAATTCAAGTTTTATATCAGTCCCCAAGTGCAAGTAGGCATTGTTTTTTTAACTTATTCTCACAGGAAACATGTCAGCCCTTATAATGTCCAGTTAGTTATTGTTTAAGGATGATATGACAATCTGCTGGATGCTGTTTAAACATTTTTATTGAAAAAATCACAATGGATGTCGATGGTATAGCGGCGAGTTCGAAGAATTTAATTAACGCACTATTTAAGTATATCCGACTCAACAGACAGTCAGGCCAATGCTAATGTTAACATTGCATCTGCATGTGCAAAGTGACTGTAGAGAGCTCCTAAAGCACTTCGCAGCTTCGAGTAAATAAACGTAAATAAACGTAAGATACAACCACGATGTTCTACCATTGACCATCTTCAAATACTTGTACATATGAATGAGTGACATCTCCAGGAAAGTGTTTACGCTCGGAGGTATAACACTCAGCCTAAAATATAACACATTAAACGGGTATTTTAATGATGCCTAATTGTCTAACAGATGTATGAAGAGTTTATTTATATTTTAAAAGGTGACAACAAAAAACCCTTTTAAAGTCACCAAATCTCTATATAGTCTATGAATGAAAATTTTAGGTTTGTTTGGAAACTGACAAGATTTCATTATATATATATATATATATAGACTAGATTAAAAAATAAATGGTATTTTTTTTATGTATTTCGGGAATTTTTTTCTACCATTCTTACTTTTGGAGTTTGTTCAGATTAGATAGTGTGATGGCCACAAGTACTAGGAGTGAGGAGAGGGGGGGGGGTTAGGTAGAGATAAAAAGCTCAACTTAAGCTAACTTAACCTGTTAACTGTGATCAATATTCCGTAGAAAGTTTGTCAAGAGCATGTAGCTACGCCATTGTGAAGCTTAGGCCAAAGACTTCTACAAGTTCGTACAGTTGGATTCTAAACTGTAAAAATAGTTGATCATAAAATCACAACTAAAAGACGTACACAATTACGTTGCTCGTACATAAAATTATATAAAATATATTATCCTTTTGAAGACGTATCAGTTTATCGGTTTATTTTGTAAAATTCATTAGTCAATTGGACTAATGAAATCGAAAGAATCATCATATTTTCTCTTCGTTTCCTTTGGGGCGTCCAATTCATGGCCTTTATCAGTAATAACTTTGTTCATCTTACCGCAACTTTAACCCATATTATCCCAAGGTCTCAAATTTTTATAATTTTTTGATATGGTTTAGCTTTTGGGGACTGAATGAAGGAATGACTATGGATTTTTTTTTAAAATCAATACTTTTTAAAATATCGATTTTTTAAAAAACGTCCCATAAATGGGACGCTAGCAACGAACGGCCCCATGTACATATATTGAAAAATAAAATCATTTATCACGAAATATGGCTATTCACGCGAAAATTAAGCTGTATACTGATTTTGTATTGTTAGACCAATGATTACATTGTTTAGGACAGCTGAAAATACTGATAATGATCAATTGGGTTAGCCATACCATGGTCTAAAATGCAGAAATTATGTTCAAAAGTTTAATTTTCTTTCAATCTAGCATCCATCAAAGTAAATAACACTTGGAAATAAGTAAAGCTGTGACTAGTACATCTAATTAGACACACATGATCACAAATATTGTTATTATGCATCGAAACTGTAATATAATTAAATATAAATAATTGATTTTTTGGTGGGCGAACTTGAAATTTTCAGGGGTGGGGACTTAAATTTCAGGGGAAGGGTGGACATTGGTAAAAGTATGTTTTGTATATAAATTCCATTTTGTTCTGGGGGCAGAGCCCCCCCCCCCCTCCTCCTCCGAAATGATGCCTGAAAGAAACTCTGCTCTCGGTGAATTTGCAAAAGATGATCCGGTCCAGTCCCATATGTCATCCAGCCATCTTCTCTTTTGTTACCCTCACTATTCCCCCCCCCCCCTCACAGGCACATTAGGACATCAGACATCTTATTTCTAGGGCCCGGATCCGTCTCTGGGAGCTTGTATTGAGTGTTCATGGCTCTCATCCATGTATACACCTCACTATGCGACCGGCTCCCAATCTAACATCAGGAATCTCCTTAAAAAGTTAACAAAGTAAAACTGGTATTGGGAACCTTTGGAGGGAATATTATTGGGGCATGACAACAGTACACAGCTAATTCACATTTCTGCTATATGTAGCTTGACCTCTCTTATGTGAAGAGAGTTAACCAACCCTCATGACTGAATCATTTCACCGAAATCGTGGCCATTGTTATTATTCTGGTTTGTTATAATTTTAATATCACGCGCTAGTAAATTTACAGCAATACTAAATTAGTTTGTATTCAATGGTATTAAATACTTCAGTAAGTGTAATTCTGAAAACTTGAAAATAAAATGTAAGTTTTTCAATATTTGCAATTTTTTAATACAATAATATATAAGAAAATATAGCTCAAGGTCATAATTAAATATCTATAAATACTAATTAACACCCCAAAGTCAACAGTCAACAAAGTCAACAATTGTTTCACCATAAATAACCATTTAACATAAATATTTGCATCTGTGTTTCTCGCTAGTGTCCAATAAATGTGACGTTTGTGTAACAATCTGCATAAATATAGGTCAAGGTCATAATTAAATATCTATAAATACTACTTAACACCCCAAAGTCAGCAGTTAACAAAGTCAAAAATTGTTTCACCATAAATAACCATTTAACATAAACATTTGCATCTGTGTTTCTCGCTAGTGTCCAATAAATATGACGTTTGTGTAACAATCTACATGGGGCCATTCGTTGCTAGCGTCCCACTTATGGGACGCTTGTTGTACACTTGATATAACAAAGTAGTAAAAAAAAATTATTATTCTTAAATTTTTATCAGATAGAAATATGGTACTGCTACAAGTTTCAAATGTATTTTGCACTTAAAATGTTAATATTTTAGAAGATATGCATTTTCCTGCGCGCATGTTTTCTTTTTTCCGCCATTTTGACAAGTCCTGCAAATCCGGCACTATAACATTTTTCTAAATTAATTTTTTTCACAAAACACACACAAATTCAATAGTCTAGCCATTTTCAAATACAATGAAACATAATTTGTGTTTTAAATAGTTTTTAGTAAATTTTAGCAATTTTTTTTGCAAGCGTCCCATAAGTGGGACGCTAGCAGAATATGGGTTAATACATAATACACCCAACACTTAAAAAAAAATTACTTCCGAGACGGCTTTTAGCGGTAGTTTCTTTCCAGCATTCACTGTCATACAGAAGGACGCTAAGGGCATACATTTTGAAATGTGAGCATTTGGTCTCGAAGGGGAATTTCTTAGATTGCCTGTTTTTTGCATGGCGGTAGGGACATGCTTGCCTTTCAGAGATCTGGTTGGTTGAAATTTCAAGAGCGCAGTTTCCTTAATAATTGACAATGCCGCCTGTCGTTTATTTTTATGAAACATCAACTTACCTGCCAACCTGCGAGAACGCTGTCGATGCCGTTTATTTTTAGTTATCGGTAAAGGTAATAGAATAAATAAACCAATGCAAAGTTAACTTACGTATGTGTTTTTTTTTTTTTTAATAACAAAAAAATATTGCATAATTTTATGACATTTAGTAATACACGTTTACAAAGCAATGCGACTTAAAAGACCAGTAGACAAACAGTGTTTCTTT